CCACACCCACGCCCACACACCCACACCCACACCCACACCCCACACCCCACACCTACACCCACCCACACCCACACCCTTCATTTATTTTCTCCTTGATAAATTTGATTGTATAAAATGTATCATATTCGATAGATTGGTGTCTAGGCTAGACATCTGCAAGATGATCACTGGACCAGTATTTTCGAAGTAGTTCTAATCTTTTTTTTTTATCAAGAATCATACTATGCATTCTCCTATTTATTGCCTATTTTATGACAAGAAATGGGAAACAGTATTTTTTACAACTTCAATAGAATTTCTTCACTGATCTTGATTTTAGTATCAAAACTTGAAGCCTTCGACAAACTGTCTGCTTTGATGACTGCATAGTTCAATATATATGTATAGATTTGATTCTACAACAGTTCAATTACTTTAATAGGAATTATCACAATAGAGAACGGATAGGGATAAATCACTGTTTGTTTCTCGTTAATGATAATAACACTTCTAGAATACATTCAATATCATCACATCAATTATGTAGCACTAAAAATAAATTATGGAAGTAGTTGAAGATAAAACCCGAACTTCTTCAGTTGTTAATGTAAGACTTGCAATTACTACATTTTATGCACGAAATTGGGAATATTGAACGAGGAAAAAGTTAATATGAAAATTCGATCCGAGACTAGATGGGGACCAAATCCAGTAATTTTGCTAATCTCTACGCTAGGCTTTTTGTTCTATTCCATTTGACTCGGTCGACTATCTTCTCCACATCGAGTAAATGTTAGAAAAAATAAACAATCAAACAGTACGCAGCCTACAGTAATCTTCATCGGTGTATGCGTACTCTATTCTTGTTCCGCAATAACTTTTGAGCTATCTTTTTGCTCTACTCGAAAGAGCTATTTACATTCATCACCTAATATAAATAGGAGCATTTATATTTTTTTCTATTATCAATTTACAACTGCAAAAACAATGGAGACTTTCTCACTGATAAGATAAGAAACCATCCTTTTAACAAGGCAGCACTATTCTCCGTATATGTCAAATGATAATATTTCACCATATTCACGAATCCATGAGTTGACTATGAAATATGGGCTTGAAAGGTATGAAATAACTGGTAAAGTAGAAGTTGCGCGAAAATTTAGTCTATAGCAGTAAAACAAGATGCAGTAACTCAGTCAACGTCAGCTTAACATTCGGCTGAGTTCACAAGTGAAATTGCATTTAGATTATCAACGAGCGATATAAAGTTTAGCCAAACCGTATAAAGAAGATTGAAAGAGGTTTGTGAGTATTTAATCAAACTGACTTCTAAATTGTTGTTTAGAAAGGACAGTGTTTCTCTCAGCAGAATCTAGTGAGATCTAAAATACAGTCTGCAATATTATAATTGAAAACGCCTTAATATGGGTGGAGCCTGAAATAAAAAATAATCGACCATGTCAATAAATAATTTTATTAAAAAAATAAGGAATAGAAACTTTTCTATATAATTTCTCGCAGAAAGTAGAGGATTGTGTGGAAATAGGACAGTTTTGTTAATTGAAAGCAAAAGGTCTCATATTAATCATCAAAATAGTGTACACTTGACTCTGATTTTATGTCAAAAAGTATTGGGTGAATCCATGAGGACCCATCCACTTTTTTGGAAAGGTTTCTTTTTTCGATTTTTTTTCGCTTCAAAATGCCGGTATGCACTCGAAAACACTTTTGATGAAAAAAAAATGAAGTACTTTCTATTAAAAATTCCGAGTTTTTGAGCAATTTTTCGGAACTCCTATGGTGTATTTTTACATATAGAAAAACTATCAGGAAAATGCCTAGAACTTCTTCAAAAGCTATTTTTTCGGACTTTTCTTGTCTTCAAAAATATGAAACAAGTCTAGAAATATGTTTTCTGAGAAACATTAGACGCATCCTATTGAAAGTCTTGAGTGCTCAATCATTTTCCTCGAATTCATGAACCTAAGACTAAAGAAATCTAGTATAAGGAGGACATAAAAAGCTGTCCAATCTGTCTGAATGTTGTAGTACTGCTGATCTAAATACATTGTCGTTTCAGAAAATTTGGATTAAATTTTTAAACTAACCTGTCATGGATTCGGATCTATGTCCAATAGTTCGAATATTTTTGATATTTCTTCCATTGCTTTGTCTTTCTGGTGTTCGAGTTCATACAAAGCATGGCCTGTATCTTCTTCCATCGATTCAGGATCAGTTGATTCATCAGTACATGGTGATTCATCATTGTCATTTGACTCAGCTATGATACCACTGTCCATATGAGGATTCTCTTTCTCTTCTTCATTCAGATCATTAAATTCCACCTTGACAGCATCATCATCAATTTTGTCATCATTGACAGGAGAACCTTCTTTCATGACTTCATCATCAGTTGAACTTTCATCGTTGTTGAGTTCCATTGATTGATGAGTCATCATTTTCTTCGATTCAAATGCATGGCACCTTGGACATAACCAGCAAATTCGGGTGTAAGTCACATCATATTGAGAAATCAAAAATTTCGATAACTGTGATGACACAGCTACTACTCCTTTTGGCACACGTGTAGATTTTGCATGCTTTATCGGATGTTCACAAATTTTTCGTTTCGACATTCGGATACAATTTTGAAAAAAAAAGATAAGAGTGGGCAATTGATATTTTCTAATATCCAATGATTCACCTCGTAATCTTATTCGTTTGAAATCACGATATTTGCGGATAAGACTTTACGCCTAAAGATGTCCTTATAGAGAAATGGAAAATCTATTATTTCGATGGTAATGTCCTTTTCGAATTCGTAGTGTCACTTCTACAAGATGATTTAATGGCAAATCGTTCTAGTCATGTAGGCAAAGTCGTCAGTTCAATATCGTTCTGATAAGATAGTATTATGAAAGTTGTTGCACTCTACGAGAAAGAGAAGATAATAATTTTTCAAATTAATTGAGTGCAGCTGAAGTTGACGAAATATGACTGTTGCTATATTCATAGAAAATGACTGAGCACTCAAGACTTTCAATAGGATGCGTCTAATGTTTCTCAGGAAACATATTTCTAGACTTGTTTCATATTTTTGAAGACAAGAAAAGTCCGAAAAAATAGCTTTTGAAGAAGTTCTAGGCATTTTCCTGATAGTTTTTCTATATGTAAAAATACACCATAGGAGTTCCGAAAAATTGCTCAAAAACTCGGAATTTTTAATAGAAAGTACTTCATTTTTTTTCACCAAAAGTGTTTTCGAGTGCATACCGGCATTTTGAAGCGAAAAAAAATCGAAAAAAGAAACCTTTCCAAAAAAGTGGATGGGTCCTCATGGATTCACCCAATTATAAAACAACTTGTTTGTTTTTCTCGTTTTACCAATGGTGCTCACTTATAGCATGTGGCGCATTTCTTCATGATTTTAACATTGAATTCATAGAATCGTGTATGTAATGCTAGTCAGCTGCATCACATGAAAAAAAACTCCGCAAGCCCATTGATACCGATCAAATGTCATAACGAGTGGTGAACTCATTAATCTTATAACATGGAACGTCGATAGTGTTAGCGTGATAGACCGTATCGTTTTTCTTCTTCTAAACGCCACAGATATCTCTTCCATCACTTTGAGATTCCCTGGATCTTCTGGATGCTGCAGATCCTGTAGATTTTCATCTGATCCCGCATCCAAAGAATCGACTTTTCCTCTTTGATTTTACTGATAAATTAATTGTTTAAACTTTTGACGGAATCAAAGTTAGATTTTCTTCTGTGATGGTGTCACCATAGATTTTCACTCTTTCAATTAACTTGTGTAATAGCGATGAAGCAAACATTTTGATCTTCGGGATTTTATTATTCTTGTATGTAGTCTGTAGATGTGTAAGAAGGAAACCAAAATGGTACCCCTAAGGCTTCGTTTTGTATTATCTGTAGTCTGTTCCAGATTTTGTCGCTAGTTCTGAGAAGAAATGATGATTCGTATGTCATTATTGGTCGCACCAGTGATTTATATAAGTTTATCATTATAATGTCATTTGATATTAGGTTCAGTTTCGACAAAAATCGAAGAAGACTGATTCTTGTGGTGACTTCAGTTTCCACCTGTTTTATGCTGCTCCTTCTTTGCAGTTGGTGATCAAATAGAATACCGAAGTCTCTTGCTGACGTTTGAGAACTTATGTGAACATCTTCAATTTTAATTTCGACTCTACTTCAATATGATTTTTGAGGGTAAGGTTTAAAATGTAACGGTTCATTTGTTAAAGGTTGAATTGTTAGTTTCCGTGTGGTGCATCATTTGAAAAAATTCGTTTACTGAAGATTTCAGATGATTATTTAGATTAGTGATGATGTTCGATGGAGCCTATAAGGCAATATAGTCAGCAAAGAGTTTATGCTCCGTATGTTGATGGATGCTATTCATTGAATCGCTAGTACGAATAATGTAAAAAAGTGTCGATAATGGCGATTCTTAAGGTGTTTCGCTTTTTAATGAGAACAATTTTAATAATACGTTTTCTATTTCTATTGAGACAATTTATTGATTCAGAAATGCTATTGTATAGTATATCATATATTCAGACAATCTTAAGTCCTGCAGCCTGTAACTCAAATCATCGAATCATACGAACTCGAAGGTTGTTGTTACATTGAAAAATGTAACTGTTGTGCGTTGACGTTTTTCAATAGTTTCTCGAGCAAACTTTTCTAAATGAACGATATTTTACATAGTACTTCTGTGAGTTCGAAATCCAGCTTAGTGCATTGGAAGAATATCCCTTTTGTCTAGTTCAGTGAACATCGTTTGTTTAATAATCTTCTGCAGAGCTTTTCCCAGGCAACTTAATAAACTAATCAGTAAATAACTCGAAGGCTGTTGTTTATCTTCTTTTGCTTTTGGTAGAAAAATAATATTGGCATGTTTCGAAGAGCTTGAAATATGACCAATTTCGATAATAGAGTTGAAAATTTTGCCAAGATTTTCTATTAGTAGTTTTTTATCATTTTTAGACATCGATTATGAATACCATCGGAATCTGGGGAGCTGTTCCGAAGTTGCTTGAGTATAACTTCGATTTCTTTTGTTGTAATTGGAGGGAGTTTCTTTTTATTCCTTTGTCTTGTAATCCTTCTTTTTATGATCTCAACTTTATATGTGACTTGTTGGTGGAAAGGCAGCATTGGGTTTTTCAACAAAAATTTCATTCTCAAAATAGTTTGTGGATAGATTGACTTTGTCTTGATCGGTATTGGCTCCTTCATTTTGATAGACTAAGACTCCTGGACTTGATTGTTTCATTCTTTTGTTGTGGAACTTCCGTACCGTTACCAATACTTTTGAAGACTGCGTCTTGTTTGCACTTAGAGAAGCTGTAGTTTCTTTAAGTTTTTCCATGAGGTCATTTCTCAAGGAACTGTTCAGGAGTATTCTGAAGTCGTAATGTTCTTTTTTGTCGATGTCTTTGCGTATTTTCCTCTATATTTCATAAGCCCGATGTTTACAGTCAATAAGATATTTGGTACCTCTTGAGATGTTTGAATTTTTAATGATTTATTTGTTCTTGGGATTGTTGATTTTGCTGCATTGACTATGCAGTTGGTAAGTTATGTCACATATGTTACAATTTGTTGAGCTTTTGTAATTTTTGTATTCATATATATATAAAGTAGAGCACAAAAGTTTAAGACATTTTTTATTTTTTAATTTTCTTTTTAAAGGTAAGAGAAAATAAATATCTTTACACATATATACGTAGTCATAATTGAGGTCTATATAATTCATATATGTTTTCTGAAATTATTCGCTAGCTAAGGATGTACAATGCAATACAATTTTTTCTCTATAGTCAAAAGTTTAAGACACTTTTA